ACCAAACTGGAAAAGTCCATATTTTATCTCATGAAATGCTGTGAAAACTAACATTAGTGAATATGAACTCCAGTCTTCAGGACCTGGTGCTTGAGGTCCATCATGCAGCGTATCCCAGGCTTAAAGCAGCTGATTCAAAGTCATCAAGACCTGCAGAGGCCTGCAAAGTAACTATTCATTTGAGTCAGGTTTGCTGAACCAGAAAAACATATTAAGCATACAGGAAAGCAGCTATTGAGGAATGAAGTTGAAAATCCCTGTTCTCCACTTCACAGGTGGCTGTTGCTAAGTTTGTGCCTGTTTAACTTAGCCAAGCTATGCACATCTGTCCCCAGCAGTGATTTCTAAGTCTGGCAAAAGTGCAAGAAAGTTTGGGATTGTGCATCTGGGTGTCAATCGTGCAAAGGTGGTATGTTCCAGTACATTTTCACCTCCCAAGTACTGGATTGGGAGATTTCTTTCAAATACCAAAGTCTTCAGCATTATAGACGACATTTTAGTTACATTTCGCAACTTCAGTACGCAAGCTCAGGCTATGCGTGTAAAAAGCATCAAGTGGTGAAGTTTGGGTGTCGTCAACAGGTATTCCTCTTTTAATTTAAACATTTTAGCCACAAACTGATCTGTCTTCAATTTAAGGACTGAGGCAATACTTAAAATGTAGCATTTTGGGTCTCACTAGAAAACTGGACACTGTGCAGCTAGTCACAGTTAATGATCGTAAAATGTCTCTTCTTGGATAATAAACATTTTGTTGTATTACGGGCTGATGTTAGAATAATTTCCCTCAGCTAAAAGGCATAATTTGTAAAAAAAAAAAAAAAAAAGAAAAAAAAGTTTTTCACTAGGTTAGAGTTCACCTTTTTTCCCCTAATCCAACCACACTCAGTCAGCACTTAGCAGATTTTTCCCAGTATTACTGATGATGCCTTTTACGTTCTCTTCATCTTCCGTCAAAGAATTTTCAGTGCACATTTGTCTTAGCATTTTTTTGCTCTATAATTACTTCCTGTGCCATAGTTAGAGGAACCATGAAGACTCCAGTGCACACATCATGTCACAATGACATGAGCCTCGCCAACTCAGTGGTTCTTCAGACTTAATGAGCTATTGAGAGATAATTGCTCCTTCAGGGCAGCCGTAGTTGACACCAGTGACTCCGGCATGTCATTCATTCAAACCACTGACGGTTCCAGTCCCACTGGAGGCTCTATTTAATGTCAGAGATCACAAGCAGTCAAATATAATCCCTGGTCGATCCATTTACATCAACTCGTTCTTTTTTTCTAAGCTACAAAGCACAGCAAGATGAAAAAAAAAAAAAGCATACTCAGTTTTTATACGCGCGTAATGGGTCACAGCGAACGAAACATAATACACTTTGACAACTACAAGACTATTTACAAAAAAACAACACTAAACCTGAAGGACAAAGTCTTATTGGATTAAACCCAAAAGCGAGTGCATTTTGGATTGATGTTGACAGCGCAGGGACACGCGTTAGTTGCCGAGGGCACCTGATGTCTGAGACTCAGAAAAGGCCCTTGATGCTGTAGCATGAAGTGGTCCAAGGGATGGTTGGACTCCCAAGTACAAGCTGTGTCCTTGTCCACCCCGACTTGGGTTTTGACCTCAGCAGACAACAGACGGCAGCAAAGGGCCGTGACACAGTCATGCGCCGAGCGTTACGAGTTTTTCTGGAGAAAATAAGCCAGGCATGTGAAAGTCGTCTGAAATTGTTGGTAAGAAAGAAGAAAAAAATTATTTTCTTTTTGTGCGTTTGTGCACAAAAATTATTTTATTATTATTATTATTATCCATTTTATCATTGTATTCCTGGAAACAAATGTTTCATATTCACAATTAAAAGTAAACACAAATATGCAGTACATATAACTTCCGACTAGAGTTGTTTTTGTTTTTTTTCCTTGGTAAATTGCAGGACATAAATATTTGACTAATTTCTAAACTTTAATCCACCTACTGGATGGGACTGCGCCTGACAGATGCACCGTTACCTTATTTGCATTCTGACAGCCAGCTTTGACACATTGCTGCAAGCTGGCACACAAACGCCTGTCCTCTCAGTAAATTGCCTGCTAAGTAGCTTCGGGACGTCAGCAGTCACCCGTGTTGTCTGTGAACGAAGTGTTCATGTTTTTCCAGCCTAGTTCCTCCAGTGGTTCACAGATACAAACTGCCTCTGCCACCAGGTGCTGAAATCCAACTGGCTTTTGCTCTGACCCTGTCAATCTATTTTTTTACTTCAGTGTCCATGGCAAAAAATAAATAAATAAATAAAACAATAAAACAAAAGCACAATTCAGATCGTTCTGCTGACAATGTGACACACTTGCTTTTTCATGATGGGAAGTCGATGCCTCGTCTGTGAGCTTTTGTCATCACACAGCGAACATTGTTTTCCTACCACTTTGGAAGTGGGGCGGAGGGGCGCATCGATTCAAAATGCATCCAGAATTTTCAGATGACTCAGTACAAACTGTAAATAAACGAGAAAACTTTTTGCTTTATTCAGAATTGAATAATTCATGAATTATATATATATATATATATATTTTTTTTTTTTGTAAACAAAGCCAAAAGACGCCAAGGACGTCTTTGTGGATTTTAAATTAATTAGTTGTGTTTAATGACAGCCGACACGGGTAGCGGATTAGTCATAAAGCAGCATGCTAGCATTTAGAGGCTTACAGGCAGTGCGGCTGCAGGAAGGAAGCTTTAGAGATCACATTTGACACAGTGGTGAAACAGCAGGACTGCAGGCGGTGAAAATCTGTCAGCAAAGGTGGGATGAGGTTTGTTTCAATGACTCTTCACTCAGGCACTCGCCACTTCCTCTCATTTGTCGGCTAACACGAATCCACCTGAGATGCAGAACGTTTTGCTTTTTCCAGCCCCCTTCCAGCAGTCAGATGTTTTTTTTTGTTTTTTTTTTACCTCACATGAGGTAAGCATAAAGCATAAAGCAAATGCAGGTGCATGATAATTAGCATTTCTACCCAGAAGGCTGCAGAAATCTGTCTCCTCTCAAATGTACCTCCCATGTTCATTAGATAACACTGACATGGACTTTTACTACCCACTTCTACTTGAACCCTTTTCAGACCAACTCAAAAGTAGGAATGCAAGAAAAGGCTAAACAGCATTATACAATATTTTTCCTTAAATATTGAGCTAAAAATAGAAGACGCATCCATATTTTCATCACTCCTTTCTTTCTCCTGCACTTATGTCAATTTTTCCAAACGCTTTCTAAGACCTTTATCATCTGGGTCACTCCCATTCAAGTCATTTAGGGGAATCTACAGCAATGAAGCTGAAAATACTACTGGCACGCAAAACGTACATTTCCGATACTTTCTAATACGTCAGCTAGCAATTGTTGCATTTCCTTTGAGCTATTAATAGTTTTCACCCTGATATCCTCATTAAAGTATTTTTGCCATATAATGTTGAGGTCTAATTCAAGGCAGAAGGCAAAATAAGAAATGCAAGCTTGACAGACATGGGGGAAAAAAAGCAACACGTTGAATGCATGGACTTTTACTACCATGAATGAGCCTCATTCATGGCTCATGTTAGTCAGAAGTTTTGACTAATCGCTAAGGCATTTTAAAACTAATCACCTTTGATGAACAGTGTGAAATTAAGATTTAATTTTACTTTGCAGCCAAGTGCGAAGTGGAGAAAAAAAGACCTTTTAAAGTAATGATTTATAGAACTGTAGTAATGATCGTGTGTTGAGGAACTGAGACTGTGTTAGTTTTACTTGATACTCCCTGGTTAAATAATAACTAAAATATCATACTTATTTCATGCAACTTATTAGGTTTGCGCCCAATGTAAATGCTAAATGTTAGAAATGATAGTTAAATTATTTTTCAAAGACCTTATTTGGGTTGAAATCCTCCAAAAGCATCATTACTTTTGCTTATTAAAAGTTGGAAAACTAACCATTTCCTTTTGCTATGTGCCACAAATAGACAAATGAAACTTTTTAGATTTCTACACATGCTAATGACTGGCTGTTTCTTTTTGCTTGCTACTGTGTGGTATCATAAAATGTTCAAAACAGAAGTTTACATTCACAACAACAACTTAAGGTTCTTTATTGGACAGGATTCAACGTATTAATTTGCATTTGTAATAACAGAAAAAGACCAAGGAACTTTGTGAAGATCCAAGAAGAAGAATTGTAGACCCACACAAGTTGGAAAAGTATTTGGGGTCATAGAAAGCCCCAGAACAGAGACCTTTTAGCCTAATTGAAACGGGCAGCTCCTCACCTGCCAGTTCCACCTGGACAAGACCAAATGGCTTCTGGAGAAAAATTTTATTTTCTCCACAAGATGGAGGAAAAAGATTAAGAAATTTAGCCACGGTGACAAAAAGTATATTAGAAGGAGTCAAAGTAATGCTTTAATAGCCGTCAAGCACGCTGATGTGTGACTGTCTATTTGACACAGACAATTAATCTCAGTAGCTGGATGACTGTTGGTCACAACTGGATGCTTCAGTACAGTAATCATCCCAAAAACACACCAAAACTGGTTTTGGAGGATAAACATGCTAACATTAAGCCCTGGTCTAACCAAGTGGCTTCCATGGTAAACAGCTAAATGGTTTTAAAGTAAACTTTGAATTTGTAAGTTCAATCATGTTTTCAGGAAATTAAATTAAAAAAAAAATTAAAAAAAATACTGATCACTTTACTTAAAACACTCTGTGGCCAGTTTTATTGGTCAGGTGTGTCTCTGTAATCTTGTCTCATTCTAGTTAATGCCGTGGTCGCTTTTCTGTAGGAAGCAAGAAATTCATTGCCAAATAAAACAATAATGCAAACACATCTTTACAACAATAAAGGACAGCAGTCCACGTCCTCGTGTTTTTTTCTCTCTCCCTCTTTCTCTGTGTGTGTGACAGATATTTCCTAAATTATATATTTGCAATATGTCCAAACACATAATACTCTCACTCACTTTCATGCTTTGAAGCTCCCCAGGTGTGTCGCGGGACGCCGGGGCTCTTAATGATCGCTCTGCCGGCAGATTTCAGGGCATCCATCCCGAGGTGTGTCCGCTCTCCGGCAGGTGGATTTCCCTCCGTCTCCGCACCACGGGGAGCTAAACGCGGCAGGCTGCGCTCCACTCGACGGCTAAAACTCGCCACAGAGGAAAAGGACGAGGGAAGGGAGAAAGAGGCTTCGGGACTCTCCGCTTCTGTGTTCTCTTCCCGGTGAAATGTGCAGCGGAGGGGAAAGAAACCCACGAATCCACTGCACCGTTTCCAAACTTGAGGGCGTGTCCTCAACCTTCAGGAGCCACAGAGCTCCTGAAGGTTCCTCATTAGACGGATTGGCCTCCGTCTAATGAGGAATGAGGGCATGATTACGTTTGAAATGTTTTTTTTAATAACTTTATGATTGGAAATAAGTTTTGTACCATCGGATTTTGTTGTTTTTAGATGGGTATTTATTTTGTGACGTGTGTTCACACGGTTGAGAATTGTTTCATATATTGGCTGGTTTTTATTTATTATTATTTTTTTGTTTTTTTGTTGTTGTTTTTTCCAGATCAGTGAATATCAATGTACACATTACACTAAACGTAAAGTTTGTTCTTTTTTTCTGGCTAATCCGTTCGATGTTTCTAGTTGTTTTGTTTTGGCTCCATCTAGTGACGGTAATATTTTTCTGCATTGTGAACAAAAATATTTCCTGGTAGACTTTATAGGTTTTTATTATTTTAAAATCATTTTATTTCCACGCAAAATGTAGAAATAAACTTTACGTTTCAGTAAACTGCGTTAAGATAAAAACGCCAATCTGGCAGTTATCCAGTAAACTAACCGAAAAGAAAAAAAGAAATTAAATTTACTCTTACTTTACAGTTTTAAAAAATTAAAATACTGGGGAAATGATGAATTGAAAATATTTGTTTATGTTTGGAAATAAAAAGCTAAAAAAAACTTTTCCTTTTTTCTTTGATGATATTTTTATGAAATGCCTTAGAAATGCCCCACCACAGAATTTTTTTTTTTTCCTAAAAAGTATTTAAAAGCATAAAAAAATAGACAGAAATAAGGATGCAATCATTAAAATAGTTGCACCTATTGTTTTAATGACTGGATTCGTGTTGCCACAGTCAACTCAAATTATTTATTGACAGGTAAATCCTTTGATCTACATATAAATCACACATAAACCGGTTCACTCAGATGTGATAGTCACATCCTGAGTTTGTTCATTGGCATTTCAGCGTTGGTGCTTTTCTAATGTGTTTTAATATTTAAAAATTAAAGTGAGAAAATCGTGCAACATTTCTCCCTGAACAGGTCTCCACTGTATTTCACAGAAACTCAAATGTACACCCTACACCTAAAAGTGATCTGTTTCCCTAACACACATTTTAAATGTGGGGGGTGAGAGCAGGATGCTTGGAAAAGTCACATTTGTGTGAGAAAAACAAACAAACTCCACACAAAAAGATGCAGAGATAAATTCAAATCCAAGACCTTCTTTCTGTGAGGTCAAAGTGCTAACAACTGCACCACCGTGCTGTTCTCATTTCAGACATATGACGCCAAATTCCCACTATGTTTTGAATAAATGTTAACCAGGATTGCCAGCTATCTAAACCTGCCACCTGTTTGGTCTGTAAAAGACCCAATAAGGAAACACAAACCAGCCCAACTCCACCAAAGAAGCATAAAAACCTCGTAAGAAACACACACATACAGCTTTTGTCCTTCAAGGTGAGATCTTTATTCGGTTTCTGTCGACAACCCCAAAGAGGCTTTCATGTCAAGACCACGTTCAGAATTATTTCACACCCTGGAAGTTAAGCAGTGCATGTAAGTCAGGTTGTCCACACAAATCATCTGGAGGGGATGGTTCCAGTTTCGACATGCCGCTGTTGGAGTTCTGGTGACCTCTGAGGGTGACTGGAGTATATTGTTTTCGGCAGCGCACTACTGCAGCTATGCTAACTGGTGCGTATCAGAGAATCTGTGTAGGTTATTGTGGAAACGCTGCCTCTTCTACAACCACGAAGCTGTAAAAAGTTAAGACTGTGGTGTTTCTGCTGTGTGGCTTTGCATTAAAGTGAGCATTTTTAAAGACTACAAATACATCTCTCTCTCTCTCTCTCTCTCTCTCTCGCTGTCCTCTAAAGCTTGAACTCTTCAAAGGCTTGCCGCGGCACTAAAAGAATGCAAAATGTCAATGCGCTCAGCTGCTTTCCTGGAAGACGGTGGATATGTCTTAGAGTTGTGAGTCCTGGTTTTTGTGGTATCCCGTGTTCTGCACTATTGTCGCAGAACATGTCCGATTCCAGTAATGAACTGAAAGCACAAAGAGAGTTTCAATAACTGCAGCATGCATCTGTTAAAGGCCGTCCATTTCATCTGTGAGCCGCGTCTTAACTGCAACCGAGGACTTGATCGGATAGAAAAAAAGTTCTTCCTTTCTTGCAACATGGCTTGTCAAACATATAAATTAGATTTCTGAGACGATAGCTGTCGGATCCTTCCCCCCGCCCCCCTCTCTTGTAAAATAAATCATGCCATTCGTGGTATAATTAGTTGTAAAGGGTGAGGAAGTAGTGAGGTAAGGTCTAAAAGTGAACAGCCAAATAAAGTGAGGACTTTAAGAAAAGATTTTAAACTAGTGAATGAAAGGTAGTTTGTTTCAGTGAGGATAAAAAAGAAAAAAAAAACAGTCTGAACTCTGAACTAAGTCAGATGTCATGCGTTCCTTGTCTTCTTTATAGTTCTTAGCACTACTTTCTATGTCACAGTCTCATGCTTATATAAACTTGAACACATTCATCTTTTAAATTTGCTTTGTTTGAACCCGCAACTTCCTCAGGGGGAGGTGGAGCGTGAAGGCATCTGGTGGGAGGGACGGCTGTAAAAAGCAGGAGATGGCCCCGGCTGTGGATTCTTAGTTCATCCAAACACGGGTCAGCTCACGGATTTGTCTGTTTTCATTAAACCTTCTTACATCTCCAGGTGAGGGACCTCATACGTCAACTGCTTCAATAACTTGGAAGGACGTCTCTTCGATTCCTCGTGCTTTCCTTCCGAGTTTTTCTCGTCTGTGAAGGTCCTCTCCGTGTCCTGCTGCTTCCCGTCTTTCGTCCAGTCCTGAGGCACAAGGATAATCTTGGGAGTGTCCCACAGACTCAGCCGACAGGCTTCGGCTTGACAGCATGCTACTTAAGCTGGACTGTCGGCCTCCTCTTGGATGGGTTTCAATTTCTACGCACACTTCAATATTTGTTCCTTCCCTGCTGTAAATCCATATAAAAAAAAATAAATAAAACAATTGTTAGTTTGCAGATGCATTGAAAAATACCAGAAGATGCTCAATACTCACCTAAAAGTAGGCAATTGTGTTTCATCTAGTCTGCTGTCAGGCACACTTGCGACCTCACAGTCAGACTGGCTGTCCTGCTGGGTGTATCCATGGCGTTTTGTGGCTTCATCCAATCTCACATATCTATCTAAGTCTGGGGGTAGAGTGCTCGTACTCGGTAGGATGCCCACTTCCTGTACACTGACTCTGACTTCCTGGACACTGGTGTCACTGAGGGCTGGGTTGTTCTGGCCCGTCCAGTGATCAGTGACTACATGAGAGAATAGAAGATCTATAAGAGAAGTTGAAACTACATCAGACGGGGCAGGAATTAGGAATTATGTGCTACTTTGTGTTGGTCTTCCACATAAAAATCTAGCAGAATTTACTTAATTTTTGTTTTGTTTTTTTTGTTTTTTTACAATTCATGAATATACTATGCACTATGAAACATTGTGCACTCACAGCTTGCCAAATCCTCCAGCTGTATCTTGTTGGTTTCAGGAGGGTCAGTCTGGGGTCGGCACCAGCCGTTCCTACAGAGCGACATGGGAACGACCCCATAGACATACGTCAGCATTAGCGGCACTCCCACACCTGAAAGACAACAAAATATGCGACATTGAATTTGTGAAGCATTATCAAAATAGGTTTATCAATCGAGTCAGAAAATCTGAACATCGCACAACATTTTTGCAGCATGGTTTTCCCATTTACGCTTCCTAAATTCCCACACTTTCCTATAAGGGATATCTTGTTTGATTTTGCATGGTTTGTCCAGTGTTTTCCAAATAATTCTAATCAAAAGTAATTTTGTGTTTACTCATATGAAAAGCAGGTCTCTGCATATCTTCCAGTGATTTTACAGAAGAGACAGTTCTGTCTTGCTCTTGTCATTGAAGCTATTCTGTATAAATAAAAGGTGAAATAAAGTAAAGATTTTGTTTACAGAATCATAATTTTACCAAATGTAGAAGTGTAACAGGTTTATTTTTTTTATTCTAGAGCGAACCAGCTTCCATCAAGGGCAACGTGACGATGCAAAGTAAGATAAATTGGAAGTTAACATTCTTCAGGATAAATTGATTTTAGGTTTGATAATAAACTTTGACTTGAACATAGCCTAGTGTAAGATGAAAAACCAAAAACAAAAGCGTAATACCCTTTTTTCTTTTTTTTCCATCATTTTCAACAATTAAAACAGCTACAGAAAACTAACACAAGAGGGAGCCATTCCTTTTTAATCCTAAACTGGAAGCTTAAAGGAGATTTATTTTTTGTTTCTTTATCCTTTATACAGTTTTCTGAAACCGCAGCTAATAGATAAGCGGAAAATACTAACACAGCTTTGACACAGCAATAAAAGAGAGGTGGACCACCAGGCGAACATGCACAGTGCAAATTAATCACACCGTAAATGTCAAATTACGTTTTGCATGTTTGATTTGTGCCCACTTGTTTTCAGAACCTTGAACAAAGTGCTTTCAGCAGGGCCCCCCCCCAATGCTCTGAACAGCAACCTCGCCATGCTGCGTGATTATGCAACTCAGTGCCGTGTGCGATAGGAATTTGGGAACACAAAGCCGAGCTCCAAATAAACAAAGGGACATCATTAACGCAGCCAGAACACTGGGCCGCTATTGACTCAGCAAGAGAGTGTGAGAGCAGGGTAAGAGAACAAACGAGCCAACCAAACAATTCAGAGAGAGAGAGAGAGGAGAGAAAGAAGTGAACATGTGGGATTTTAAGTGCGTCTCAGTCACAAAGCAAAAACAACAACACTGTTTGTGAACAAAATAAAAGTTGATCAGCGGTAACAACACAAAATGCAAGAGGTGTTAATGGGAAAACATAAGGAGTCAGAAGCTGGGATGCAGACAGAGGGTCAGAAGTAGGGGCAGAAAACTGGTGCAGCTTCATTTTTTACAGTGTGTGTTCCAATGGAAGATCACTCATCGTAATGCAAAGACTATTATGAAGATATGAAAATAATTTAAACATCAGCACGTGAGAATTTATACAGCTTACCATAGTCGTAGTCATGTGATTTATTTGTGATTGCAAATAAATCCGGGTATGAACCACATTATCATGCTGTTGTTTTTGAAGTTGGGGTACGGATTAAAAATGGTTTAGTTTACATCGACTACATTCTGATAATGACTACTGTTTAATTTAAAGTTGATGTGGAAAAATCAAACAAATAAAAAAAAATAGTATTTTGTTTTTAGACTTATCAGATTTAGGGTTTAATATTTCTTGTATATACATTTACCAGTATATACAACAATAACACCCAAAAAATGTAATACTTATCTTTAAGCATTTTTACTTACCCACTGTGACAGCTGCTATTACTGGCGACACAAACACGGACATCATCACCCCACTTGCCACAGTTAAATAGTGCTTACTTCCTGAGATATTGTTTTTCTTGCAACGACCATGGACCTGGAAGGCAATAAATTAGAAACAAATTGCCTCATGGAAATTTAATTTGTTCCTTCTTGTTGTTCTCCATCTGTGCAACCACTTATCCGAATCCACTAACAAACTCCAGCAGAATACAAAAGAGGACAATCCGACAAAAGCAGCCTGAGGTTGTCTTCAACTACCACTGATATGTAGTAAGTATATGGTAAGTTGTTAAGCAACTGCTTGAATTCTTATTTTCCTGTCAATAAATAGTTTTTGCCATGATTGCTTACCTTACGGCCCATGTAGATTGGTATACCCACTATAATGACTGGGATGGCGATGCCTGCTATAAGAGAGATGACCACAGGTGCTCCGAGCAACATGCCCACCTGCCACAGTACTTTTCGAGTTTGAGACCATGGCTTCTTCCCCCAAAATGTACATCCTGAGGGACTGAAACACACAAGACACACACAATTCAGCTCAATTCAAACATTTTCTATTAATCCCCAAGAGAAATGAAATGTTGTAACTCAAGCCATCTAAGATTTTTTTTTTTTTTTATCATCGATGGCGATTGCTGTCATATCTCCTGTAGAGGTCTGTTTTTCAGCAGATCTGAAGGAGCCTCTGACTGAGGACACTCTTGTTGTATTAGTCTCTTGTGATCAGGATGTCCAGACCTTCCGATTATGTTCTTCTTGTTATGAAGCATCCCTGTTTGCCCAATCCTATCTAGAGGCTCCAGAATAGTCTCCAGAAAAATCACTGAACCTTAATCTGTCCGATAATGAATGGTAAATGTCCTGCGTTTGTACAGCGCTTTATCAGGTCTGAGGACTCCAGAGCACTCTAATAGTCACATCAGCAGTGACCTATTGATGCCGATGTGAACCTCTCAGCTGGCAAATCTATGGTCCAGAAATAAACAATGACTATATTAAAAACTGTTAAGATTAGCCCAGAAATATTTTGAATCACAGTCACCATTACAATATTGGTGTGTGCAATATGGCAATCGAAAGGGACTGCTTGGACATAACATGGTAGGACGCTCTTGTTAAAGTGTTTAGACATTCACACATTGGATATCAATAATATATATGGGCAATTGGATGGTTTCTAACTGCCTTTAATGCTACAAAGCATCCACAACTTTAGAGACTGAGATCCTGGCATTCTTGAAGAGTGGTGGACACATTGTGCAAAGAAATGCAGGTGGCAACAAAATGGAGGTTAACCATAATTAGTATAACCATCCCAATCTGCAGAAATTTGCAGAATTTTTTTTTTCTTTTTATATCCTGAAGCCCTACAAAGGTCAACAAAATCCCTAAACTGTTTTTGCTGTTGTTTTTTTCCCAATATATTAGTCTTATTCAACAATAAATGAAAAAAAAAAACATGCATTCACAAAACTATGTTGATTAGTTAGTTTTCCATAAAATAAGCAACCAGGATGTGCACAGTCATACTGACATCAATTTACTGGAAATATCACAAACACGCCCTACCGTATTGAAGTTTTATTCTTACGGAAACAAGTGCAATAAATCACAGCAAATAACAAAATAATAATATCTGAGACGGCATGTCTCATTCTTTTCAATACTCCATTACTCATTAACTGTGTTTATATAGCCATTAACCATTTTTAAATGTATTTGTCTTCCAGAATTATCAACGGTGGGAGCAAATCTCAACATGTGATGTTACTTTTGGTTAAAGTGTTTTTATTACAGAAAAGACTAGGTTACTTTTAACACAGTTCTTTTGAAGGTGAGATCCCAACACTGGCCTAAACCATGCTAATGCCTAATATCCAGCTTTGGTTTAATGCTCTAATCATACGTGGAGAAATTGTTAACTGACTAATGCTTTTCTGCGTAATTAAAGCAATAATTGGCTTGGAGGTTCAGGGGTGGCAACATGAAGGGCACAAACTGCACCCAAAGGCTATTTCTTGCAGTGTCTAATTGTTTCTCAGCAGCAAAAGTCACTTTGGGGAATTATAGTGAGCTATTATTATTGTTCTCTGTTGCACTGAACTAGCAGATTCACTGTGCGGTCCTTAAGACTGCACCCTTCAGCAGAACATTTACTGTAATTGCAATGCAAGAGACAAACAAGTAAGGAGGAGAAGGACAAGGGCAGGAGGATATCTGGAAGTGTTTCTCGTCTAAAAGAGCTGACACATGCAGCCACCCTAAGTCAAAGAATCGAACACCGATGAAAAGATTACAAGGCACCCACACATGTTTTCTCAGTAACGCTAAAATCGACCCCACCACAATGGAAATATGTTGGTGCATTAAGCAGGCTGAGTGATGGGAAGCTAGCAGCAGCTTCTTTCCAGGACTGAAAAATCAATGGAAAATTATGTTTAAACCAATGCAGCTTTTTTTTTGTTTGTTTGTTTGTTTGTTTTTTAAACAATGTTGCTGACAGGCTTAATTTTTCAGCATAAACTGGGTGTTTCCAAACACATCTGTTTGTTGTGACGATGGTCTACATAAATTGTTCTTCAAGAAAAGAATACAATCACATCACGTTCTGCTAGAGTTTGAGATGCACTTAACAAGCGAAGAAGAGAGATTCTATAATTACTAGAAGTGATGTTTTTGATGAATAAGTGGACTACAATACGAAACAAATTCAACAGCCTCACAATGTTGCTGTGATAGAAACTGTGAGGTATTTAATGTAATTACACTTCCCAGTGCTATAGTAGAGTACCTTACAATGGCAAATTGATACAGTCTAAAAGCCCTGTCCCTATAATGCATACTACATAGCACCGAAGAGCTTAATTTAATGCAACAAAAGCCTGCACTTGCAGTAAATCAAAGGATTTGTACAATGTGAAACATTATAACAGAGCGGAAGCTATATTTCAGCTACGAACTTCACTGAGCTCTCTCTGTGCATCAGATCATCCTAAACAGATTCAAACATAGTGTAAATTAGTCCGATAATAATTGTTTCGGATGGCTTGGGAGAAAATCGTGAAATAAATAAAACATAACGTTGGATTATATATGTCAAAAAAATAAATTTAAAAAAAAGTGGATGCAGCATTGCCCATTGTATGAAGACTCGCAAATGTGTGAAGCTACCATCAAAGCAGATAAAACGTAGCAGTGATAAAAGCAGCCATCGGGTCGGTGTATTTTCCTGGGACATTTCCATTAAATTGATTCTGCCTGGTGTACTTTGCAAAAGAACTCAGACCCCTTGAACTTGTACACGTTTTTGTTGCGCTACAACCACAAATCTTAATGCATTTTATGTGGATTTTATGTGATAGGCCGACAGAAAGTAGTGCATAACTAAGAAAGATAAATCCAGTTACAGGTACTGTACAAAAGAGCTTAGTGCAACCACCTGGCTTCAGATGTCCTCTAAAAAAAACACTGAGTCAATATAGAGTTCATCTGAACACCAGAGCAAAATGAGGTCCTCTATCCACTTGGTGGGGGAGGAAAGTTTCTAACATTTCAACTGATCAGATATTCTGTATACGTACAGTAAATTATGGACAGGTAACACAAATTCTTACATCTGCTTCTCGGCCTGCCGAAGCTGGTGCAACTGTCAAGCTCTGGTAAGAATGGTGAGATGTAAATATCCTCACCAGAGGGGGATGTGTTAAAGACTCGCTGAAATCAGCTGCGCACGTGATAATTTGCTGCTGCGCTAGACTTACAATGTGCTGCATGTGGCTCACCGTACTGAGGCGACACGGTAAGACTGCGAGCAGGAATACCTGAGGTAGTGCACATCAGTGATCTCCTGCATACACAGCCAGCAGAACTGACAGGCACACACAGTGCAGTTCATGCGGTTACAGCTGCCATCATTAGTCTTCATGATGTAGGCGCCACAGCGAGGACATGCCTTGATCTCCTCTGCATCTGTAACAGAATAAAAGCGGACAACGAGAACTTGACACAGCTACTTTCTGACCGCAAACAGATTCACTTTGTATCTTAATCTATTGATGAAGCAAATAGCAAATTTAAGAAAAAGCCATTTATGTAATTGCCTATGCTATAGTGCGTATCTATTTTGTAGCGGAAACAAGTCTGTTAATTGCAGTGCCGTTCAACTTTATGACACTACAGGTGTAAAACATTTAGAAATAAATAATATTTTACAAGTTGTTTGTTATCTATTTATATCAGGCAGCTTCAAAAAATTTGCTCTTTTTTAAATATGAATACTCTTTAATGGTTTCCAGAGAGATTTTCAATCACCCCACGGTATGGTTTTTATTTATTTACTTTAAGGTTTTTTGAACAGTGGTGCATAAAAAACTTCTGTCTTGGTTTTACTGAATTTTAGAGCTGACACATATGAAGATAAGGTACGACTTTTATATTACTGTGACGCCTACTGTAATCTACAACAGTAGGTGCCAAATAAGTTTGTCTAAATAAGTTGCCAAAAATGTTCATGAGTCCATGTGTCTGATTTTGTTTTCAATCTAAAGTCAGAAATGTGGAAAAAGAACCACAATTAAATTTTCTTTTTGGTCGACATTTGAAGCTTTTCACTCATCACTGCCAGAGCGACCGATAATTGAAGAGGGCACATCCTAACGTTAAATTCTTACCACCCTTTCCAAACCAAGGTCTCAACAGTCAAAATCTGCTTCCAAGTTTACCTCCTCCTGGTTCTTCATTGAAGACATACATCGCAGAGGCATCATTTCCACCTGACGCGTGGCGGGCACGCTGACGCCGCGCCTGGTCGCACGTCTGGTTGGGGTGCCACAGCTGTCGACAGTGGTAGCAGAACTCCGTGTCGCATCCCTCACGGCCGCAGCTCAGCTTGGGACACTCTGCGCAGCCGTAAGCTATGACCGCGTAGCTGTAATTCAGAAAAGGGACGCAATTTAATGCCCGCTCTACGTGCCTCATTTTGTTGCCCTAAGTTGAAAGACTCAAAGAAGTTGTGGAGGAATTTGATGTTTTATGAGAAGATAAGTAAGAGTGTTCAAAAGAGTATGTGATCATGGATCAAATGCTGGGGAATGTGAGCGATTTGAAAGCCAAACGTTATATTTTATTTTTTTTTTTATCCTGCTGGCATTTTCAGCTCTGTGATGTTTTCTAGTTTGACTGGATCAAACAAGTTGGAGGCCACACACACACAAAAGAGGATAATTGCACTCCTGCAGTGATCCTACTTTGGTATCAAACTCAGTCTGAATGGACTCTAAGTCTTAGCTGCATGCATAAAATGTATCCAGATGTCACTGTCATCAAACAAACCAGCAGTTTCTGGATTACCTGGATCTAAGAGCAATCTTTTATGCGTTGCCATGCAAGGATGCTGAATGAAGTGAAAATCAATCAACTAGCTCATGTTCTAAATGAAATCAGTATGTTTAAGAAAACACAGAATTCATCTAAATTAAGCATAACACATCTTGTAATAGCAGTTGTACCTTACATGCCATGGCAACAATAAATTAAGAAATCCATCTGAGAATGTCAATCAATCAATCAATCAATCAATTTATTTATTTATTTTATTTGGTCATATTTTCAATATGTGGGGCACTGGATGTCTGAAAAACACAGATTCAGGTGGAGATGGTTTCATAGCAACTCAAGGGACAGATGCAGTTAATTTCCAGGGAAGTACATGAAATATGATCTTGATCAGTAGCAACATTAATTGCATATTGTCTCCTTAAGCTAAAAAAAAAAACTGTTTGAACAAAGCTGACGGTGAACAGTTGTATAAGAGTCTGTGAGGTAGTTGAGGATTTGCATATCTTAAAAGATGCAAAGAGGTTTTTAAAAATGAAGGAAAAAAATATATAGATATATAGATATATATGTGTTTTGATACATTTGTGATTTCTGTGACAAAACCCACTAAAGTAGTACCAGGCTTTCAACAAAAAAATCTGCACAAACTAAAACAATTGCTAAAACATGGATCGTAGGTCATAAAATCAACTTCAAACTGAACTATAAATCACTATTCTTTAAAAAGACTGCGTTATATTTATATCATTCTTAATAGTTAGTGAGTTAGGCAGATAGTATTTTTCCTTTTCTGGTTATTTCTGCCATCACGGTTTCTTCTGGTATTTAAAAAATGTTCTGTATGTATATGTATGCTTTTCCAGAGATCTATTCAGCAGAATGTACATCCCACATACCCAGTGATTATTACACAAGTAATAGATTTTCCTAGATGTGCACTTATATAGCTAAATAATTAAATGCTGCTCTTTTCGTTCTTACTAGATGTCTATTATTCTGTCAAACAATGTGAATATATTCACTTTATGCAATACCGAAACTGCCTGTTTCACTTTTTCTTTAGGCATTCTTTAAATAGCAGCCTGTCAATGTGACACATATTTTCCTATAGTATAGGCTGCCTCGAGCTGTCATTATGTGTGGAAACCCCGCTGTGCAGATCCATTGTTTGTGACTCAAAGATTTATGGAGCTTCAGGCAGATTAACCCCAAAAATGAAGAAGCACATACAGTGGTATGAATATAAACCAAACATTATTTGATTATTATTTTTTAATGTTCAGTGGGAAACATTGGAGGATCTGAAGAATTTGTAAAAAAAAAAAAAAAAGAACCTAAAAAGAGAACCTAATTTGATTTAAAAAAAAATAAAATAAAATACTTCATAAAAAATGGAGGCGCTTAGAAGCAAAATATAAAATATTGTGAGACACTAATAAAGAGTGATACATTGTAACCCCAGTGTTTTTGAATAAAAATGCATTTTCATGCATTTTCGGTTGTGTTTTGTATCGCTTATAACTGCATCACATACTTCAGGCTCATTGATTATTTTTCTCCATTCATTCATCAAAGCCAGGTGGTAGTCCTGAGGTAGTCCTGAGCCCCAAGTGCTTCTGTGCGTCTGACCACAAATGTCTACTGTACACAGGAGCATGCAGCGTACTCATGAGTATGGACCTATCTTGTTACCC